TCTGCCTTGACGTACGGCACGTCGAACATGTTCTCCAGGCAGATTCCATCGAGGCGGGCACCACTGTAGACGGCCGCCTCTTCGCAGGCAATGTCCACCAGCTGCTGCACCGACAGTGCCGACCTCGGCGAACCAGGCAGCGCCCGAACGTGGACCATGCCGATGATGGCCATCGTTCGGGCCGAGGAGCGTGGAAAGTGGCGAAAGAAGAGTGATGAAGACATCACCTTGATGAAAATCCTTTAGATCCTTTCTTCAGTTAAGATAGCCAACCGCTTTATCACCAGAAACACTACCCAACCGAGTACTCTCCTCCAAATCCTCGCTCTCGATGATGCAACTCAAGTATTATCTTCTGAGCCTAGGGTACAACAGCAGACACTTTTGTTCCACAGACAACGTACAGCGCACCAACGTTGTGTTTACGATTTTGCGCGCTACTTTTCCACTGACGCCAACCGGTGCACTGCAGCGGCACTTACCATCGTTTCCTCCTCTTCATCATCATTACCCAACTGCACCTCAGGCCGCTAACATCGAAAGGAGAGACAAGATGAAGTTGAACCACCTGACCGTGATCACCTGCTCAATGAAGAAGATTGCNCGCGCTACTTTTCCACTGACGCCAACCGGTGCACTGCAGCGGCACTTACCATCGTTTCCTCCTCTTCATCATCATTACCCAACTGCACCTCAGGCCGCTAACATCGAAAGGAGAGACAAGATGAAGTTGAACCACCTGACCGTGATCACCTGCTCAATGAAGAAGATTGCCGAAATCAAAGGCGTCCTCGGCGAGGAGATTCCATTTGAGGTGAGAGATTATTTGTTAGTGAACGACTTAGTACATGTGCTCACTGCTGTGCATTTCATCATCGCTGTAGATCATTCATTCAAAGCTCGATCTGGAGGAGTACCAGGGCGATCCGAACGGTGATGAGGACTTTATTGTGAAGGAAAAGTGCAAGTTGGCCGCCAGAACAATTAAGGGACCGGTGATCGTGGAGGACACTTCGGTCATGTAAGCTTGTAGACATGCCAGTTTCAAATTGAATTTCACCACTTTCTTTCCGAATGACTGTAGATTCACTGCACTAAAAGGCTTGCCAGGCCCGTACATCAAGGTAAGTCTGTAATGTCGGGTTTTTCGTGAATAACTGAAAAATAACCTGTTTTTTGTTTTTAGTGGTTCGACGAAACCATCGGCTCCAGTGGAATGTGGCGCATTCTGAAGGACTACGAGGACAAGAGCGCCACGGCCATCTCCAAAATCGCATTCAGCGAGGGCGTCGACCAGCCGGTACACGTCTTTGAAGGTCACCTGAAGGGCACCATCGTCGAGCCAAGAGGCAGCGGCTTCACCTGGACCTCGTGTTTCCAACCGGACGGCCAGACGCAGGTCTTTGATGAGATGGAGCTGTCGCTAAAGAACACACTCTCAGAGCGCTCCTTTGCGGTGAAAAAGTTGAAAGCTTTTCTACTAGAAAAGTACAGTGGCAACTCCAAGGTCAATGGATCATCAACTCAAAACGGCAATGGACTGTCTGTTTAGGCAATTTGTTTTAATCGCATTCCGAGCAACCAAACAAAAGAGACACATTGTACAATACTGCAAAGTTCTATTTCTCCTCTCTTTGATCATCCGCTAATTTCCCTCCCTAATCTGGGCCCACCTCTCCAGAGTGATAATGCGCGGCAGAAGCTTCTTGCTGAGTGAGGGCAGATAGGTGGCCACGTAATGGAGCAGGAGAAAGGGATGCAGCGAGATCCACACCTCGTCCATGCGATTGGCCAGTGCCACGGCCATCAGCTGGGCACAGCGAGCCGTGGACATGCGACGGGCGGTGGACTGGTGCTCCCGGTCCCCCTCTACTCCCTTGCCCATCGTCCCACCATAGGCACTGGCGAGGAAGTTCGAAAAGGTCGGTCCCGGACAGAAGATGGTAATGCTGATCTGGTTCTTTGA